ACTCTTTCCGAGTGCTGCTGTGTTATCCTTGACCTCCGCCAACTGTCCTGCCATAGCCTCCAGGTCTGAGACCGCTGATATGCAACTCGAAATCATGCGACCTACATCCTGGAAGGCTGTCATGGCTTTGTCATGAAGCTCTTTCTGAGCGACTTTCACAAAAGTCGTTCTGAAACCATCAAGAATACCCTGCTCATCCACAAAAGCACAGACGAGCACATCACACGAGGTCCATTCATGTAGGAGATCAGACGTCGGATCTTTCATACTACGAGTAGTCCCTATCTTGCTCTTGGCGAAGACATACTCGATGAGTGGCCCGCTGGTGTCACACGCCTTGGCATAGCTGTCGAAAAGCTGCGTCAAGGATTGGGGCAACTTCTTCAACCCAACGTCGCTCCAGAAGTCATGATGAAGGATATCCGAACACCTCATTGTCTTCAACGTCTCTTCCAAGTCAAACTCTTGGACTTCCTCTTTAGTGTTTTCGGCTTCCAGCCGATGAAGAAGATCTTCAATACATGAGCACATCGTGCTCGACAAGATGTTCTGGATTGCCACGGTGAGGACCTCCCAAAACTCTTTGATGATACTCTGAACCCTCAGTTTGTGCTTCTGCATAAGCTTGGATTCTTGTTTGGATTGTTTCAGCTTCCAGAAATGTGCGACCACATCGGAGATGGCATGACCGGTCATTTCGCCTTGAAAGTCCTTCACCTCTTTCAGGGCCGCTTCCAAGTTGCTCACATGCAGCTCTTCCTGGAGCTGGGCTTGTCCGGCTTCCACCTGGGCCTGACAAAGTGAGTCTTGAGGCTAAGGCTAAGGGATTGGGGCCTAGTTCTAATTCCTCAGATAAACTAGTACTACAGGCTACAGCAGATAAAGTATTATGAAAACTAATGTCAGGTCCTAGCCTTGCATTGGGAGATGATCTGCATGCCGATTTTGTGTTTCTGGAAGAATTGGAGGACTCCATCCTCTAAGACATCCTCCTCTGCCACTTTTGCAAACCTCTCCAAGGCACTGGCCATTCCCGAGATATCATCTGCGAGCAGATCACGGGTCAGCTCGCACGTGAATATGACATTCTCAAATAGGCTGTTGCTCTTCTGGTCACATACTTCCGAAGCCAGGTTCCTAGCCTGGTTCCGCCCCCAGGACCCATCTTTCAACACGTCCTCCTTGCCCAAAAAGGTCGTCATCCGACTTTCGACGTCCGCATGCACAAACTCGCGGACATTGTCCGAGACCCCCAGATCATTCAGAGCACAAACCTGAAATGAACAATATAATATAATATAAGTTTATTATTAATAGTGACAACGCAGTATTCGTCAGGATACCAATTTCACTCTAGTGAAAGAACTTAAAGACTTAGTGACTTGACTTAGTACTACTTGTTACGAGTCTATGAGATAATTATAAGTTTGAATTCATAATCATCCAAAAGTCCAAAATCCTGAATGCATGCCAAGCGACCTCTTTGCTGTCTTCGCAAAGCACGCCAACATAATCCGAAAGGTTTTTGAAGAGGATCTTCTCATTCAATTTGCACTCCAAGAGCTTAAACCAAAAACAGGATCCAACACGAATGAGCCCGTTCTCTTTCAAACATTCGTACGGATCCTCAATGGCTTTGGGACCGCCAGTGGTCGAAGCCAAGGCCGTGTTCAAGTCCAAAGCATGTTGGACGAGCGACCGCAATGACTCAAAACCCTCAATCTCCGACTCGAAAGAGACTTTGTTTGGACTGTTCTCAATACGACGCATGGAGTTCTGGACGGAATTTGACACCCCGGTCAAAGACCGCTGTCGGGCGGCATGCTCCTTCTTGTCCAAGAAGTTGTAGTCATTTCCAAAACCGAGCTGACCCTCGAACTTGAGCTTGAGCTCCGCAAGCTCCTTCTTGAGGCTGTCTTTCAATCTCATGCCACGACCGTCCAAGTTCAACGTCTTTGCTGGCGAAGCGACGGCACCGAAATCATCGGAACTCGGCTTCTTCGCTGGCTGGCTCGGAGCGCTTGCTTTAGACGGCTGCTGCGATTGTGTCTTTTCCACTGGTGGCAATGAGACTGAAACTGTCGATCTTGTTGGCCCTGCCTTCGCGGTCGATGCTTTGGGAGCGGCTTTCGGTTGAGATTTCGCTTTAGCTTTCTTCTTTCCTGCCAAGCTTTGCAAACGTTCCTGAGCTTTGCCCTCATCGTCACTTTCGGAACTTGACTCATCCAGCTCTGCATTTGACTCATCAGAACCATCCGACTCCTTTTGGTCGTTGTCTGCAGGTTTTGCCAGGCCGGAGGCCGCTGTTGCATTTCCTCCAAGAACAGAGCTTTGCAACAGGGCCAGGATGCCCTCTGCATCATAAGACGTGGGAGCTGCCTCAACAGCCTTGGAGACACGTTCCTGATGAGTCTCAGTGAATGCCGCCTGTATGGCCACTTTCTTATTGGCGAGGGCCTGGTCAGCGAACATGGCTTTCGAATCCTTCTTGGAGTGTTCTTCCGTCTCCGTCCGGGCCTTTTTCGTGTCGAAGTTCCTGACATCATAACAACCCCTTCTTCCTCTCATCTTGTAGATTCCTTTGACGGTTTCACCGTTGATCTCCTGCGACTCATATTGATTACTTGTTAACAGTTAATAGCCCTATTCAGCCCAAAGCCCAAAGCCCTAACTAAACCGCTCACCCCCCCATAACCTAAACCCTGAAGCTGAAACCCTATGCCTATGCCGTAAGCCCTACTGAACTCCTCCTAAGCACTAAGCACCAAAAAGCCTGCCTCTTCCACGATTTTGGTCTCGTCCAGAACGCCGTCCTCCTTGGCATCCCATTGGGTGATATCGATGAACTGCATCAAGGGACCTTCGAATCTCACGCCCGTATCTTTCACCGTCTTTAAGGTAGAGGCGGTCTTCAAGTCCTCCTTTTCACGCTTCTTGGTGCGAGCCCCTGCCTGGCCACCTTTCTTCATTTTTTTCACGTACTCTGCACGACTCTTCAAAAACTCATCATGATCCACTTGCTTAGCTTCTACTTTCTTGAGGTACTCTGCCTGCGAACCATATTTGTGGGGGAAGCCCAACAAGCGATAGACGTTTCGGCAGATTCCGTCTGAGGCTCCTACTGGCACCCGGACCACGCCAGAGGCGGACTGCACTTTTCTGTATTTTCCCCACGCGATGCACTTCTCATCCCCCTCTGTGCTCGCTGCATCAGAGCAGCCACCGGTGCTTATAGGATTCGGGTCGCTGCTTTTGCAACCACAAAGTCCACAAACGCAGGGCTTCTTGGGGTGCTGTATGGGGATCGCGGAGTCGTCGCAGCAGCTTCTACCCAAGGATGTCTTGGATCGGGCGTCAGCTTCAAAGCCAAAGCAAGACTCCCCCCCATCGCCGAAACCATCCTGAACCTGTGAGTCATACTTACTTTAAAATTGGGGACCTGGGGGCTAAGCCGATATCTACACTACTACACAAGTTAGACTACAATCCACAATGCGTATGGTATAGACTCCGTATAGACTATGGCCTATGGCTAGGGCCTAAGGCTTTCTACTTGCTAATGAAACCATGCTAAGTTCAGCTGCTGTAATAGAAGACTTAAACACTCGAGGATCGGTAACATCCGGGCCTCAGCCGCCTTGCGCTTTTTTGAAGCCTGGGTTTGCTGAGCTTTTCTGGCTGCTGAGGGAGAAGCACTGGATGCCGAGCTGCTGCTGCTGCTGTCGCTATCACTAGCCATGGCTTGTCACGGCACACTCTACTGGTTGCGAACCTCCGAGGAAAGAGGAATCTATAGTCTATCATGATTCATGATCTATGCCTTCAAATCTCAATTCATTGACTACGGCATGGGACTGCCTCCTCGGGCGACACTAAAGACTTTCACTTTCAGGGCTCGGCTTCGAGCCTGGTCGTCGCTTCCAGCCAGCAGGAATGCTCAGAACTTCTCAGTGAGTTTTCAGCCTACAATGCCGATGCACGATTGCTTTTCCCCCTGGCTGCTGCACACAGCTCGAGAGATGTCGTTGGGATTGTTGCCGCTTGGCCCACGGCCCGTGCTGGAAATACCTTAGCTAGGCTCTGTGCCCAAGTGCTGCAAGTAATTTCTCAGAAAAGTACAACAGAGTTCTATCCGAATCTGAGAATTCCCAAATTGGTTTTACAATATTTGTAATATTTTCAGAAATATTTGAAACAATTTTAAAACTATTTTCAGAAATATTTGAAACAATTTTAAAATATTTCTAAATATTTAAAACTATTTTAACTTTTTTAAAAAAAACGGAATGTGAACACTAAACACAAATTAGTGTTCACAAAACCACAATTAGTGTTCACAAAACCACAATTAGTGTTCACATTTTAATAATTGAAATATTTCTAAAATTGTTTTATTTATTTGAAAATATTTCTAAAATTGTTTTATTTATTTCAAAATATTTCTAAAATTGTTTGAAATATTTTAAATATTTTTTACTGAAATTGAAAATATTTCGTAAATATATTCCAGAGGATCCGAAAATTTGTATTTATGTGGCCTTTGTCGTGCAAGATATAGGAATTAGGGAGGTCCAAATTCTTGGACGGAACAGAAGCCCCCTGCCCCCTCTCCCCTTTCACAATCAGCTGGAACGAGAGTCATTCTGAGGCATTACAAGCACAGCCCACTTTTTGAAACACTCCAATCAGGTACGCAGTTGCCACAAAACAACTAAGTACTTCTAAAACAAAACTCTAAGACTCTAAGACTTAAACTGTCAAAGAACACTTCTGAGCAAACCCCAATTCAAGAACACGTCCTGCTGCATGCATGTAATGTCATATTCCGAAGGAGGACTGCCTACTACGACTAATGTCCAGCCTGAGACAGAGAATGCTGTTATTGCAGACACGCGGCTACAGAAGAGACCCGTCTGCCTATCACTCCAGGAAGAAGATTCGCTGGGAGACCATGCAGTACCACTAGAGAAATCCAGCCCAGGACGGAGTCCGACCACCCATTAACTGAGGTAGGCTGCGACCTCGATATCCATTTCCTCCTCGTTCTTGCCCTCCGCGAAACTCACCAAACCCGGACCCCCCATCTTCACGTGATGGGTTCGCGGATTGGTTTGGGGAAACTCATCATCGTGCAAACCGGCACACAGCCAACGTTTCAGTCTCAGAATGCAAGTAGCATCATCCATGGTCCCATAGGATACTGCTTTTTTGCACTGGGTGCTGCTAGCCCCCTCACCTCTATCCCAATGCAGGTTGCAAATTGCACCCCAGCCAGTTTGTCTACCATGATGAGGTACAATAGGTGACAACATAAAGGGACCCCAGGGTATACCTCTTCGCTGGTTTCGGCGAACAGCCCGCTGGCCCGGGTCCTCAGCGACGGGAGCAGGCGGAGGGGGAACGGCAGCGGCAGCATCGACATCGCCTCCCGCACTTCTTCCAGCTGAGACAGCGGATGAAGATACATGACCTGCTGAACTCGAGGGCCTTTCCATATCTGGGCCTGGAGTCTCCGCTTGTTCAAGTCCCCAAACATCATCCTCGTCATCTCCGCTGAAATTCCCCTCCCACTCTGCATCATCAAACTCAGCTGCACCATCATCATTATCATCATTATCCTCTTCTTCCAGTTCGTCATCTCCGTCATCACCCGCAACAAGACGAGGACGGGCGGCTCTGCCTCTGCCACGACGTCTACCTCCGCCCCGGCCACGCATGTTCTGAGACCGCGGCCGTGGCCTCCTCTGTGCTCTCTGCAGCAATCGCACAGCCCTGAGTGCACGCTCTTGTTCCTTGAGCTGTGCTGCTTCAGACAGCAGATCTTGCAAATCATGAGGTAGCTTGTCACAAACCAGAAAAGAAGACAGGTCGTGTTGCAAATCCCCCAAAGTCAAACGAGATATATCCCATGTCCGACTTCTGGTTGCCAAAGATTTGCAAACGGATAGGTCATTGTTCCAAATGATGCTACCAGTGAGTCTCTCTTTCTTGAACTTGAGAGTGAACGGAGGGCTCGAATCCACTGTGAGATCTTTGTCCGAGTCCAGTTCCAGAAATATTGCATCGACATTTTGCATGTACGTGCGAAATGCAAGCATAAAGATAGCACTATCTTTCTGGTCCTTGCATTCAAAAAGAAGCGTCAGGGGCAAGGCACTGATGTTTTTCTTTGCTGGGTCGAATCTCTTGATCAGCACGGACAAGCACGTGTGCAAGCGGCCGAACACAACGGTCTCCTCTTCAGAACAATCCGCAACACAACTTGCATGCGGACAAGCTTGGAACAAAGTTCGATCATCACGAACGGCGATATCCTGCGCGACTGACATCGGTACGGCATGCGCCTGCAATATTTCATAGGCAGTTTCAAGTAATAAATAATAAGTAGTAATAAATAATAAGAATCGATCTCCCTGACCTGATCCAAAGGTCCAAAGACCTCATCTCGTAACTATTGGGCCATTGTACATTATAAACTGTATAAACTCAGCCTTAGCACGTAACACCACAAGAACCATAAATTCCCGCCTGACACCATCGATTCTGAGCCGAGGCAAACGTGTGCTGGGCCCGAAAATCGGTGAGAAATTTCTCAGACAACGGCCACTGTGCCGAGGGCTGAGATAACTTCCAAGGCCCGCCAGGGACATCGGGCGGCCGTTTTGCAGCAGCCGCCATTTGCAGAGCTGCTTTACGAGCATTGCTCTGCCGAGCTCGCTCGCCCCACGATTTCTTCTCTTCATCGCTCAGCAACTTCCACGCCTCCTGTGATTCTTCCAGGAACTGCCTTGATGCCTGGCTTCCACGACAAGAACCACTCATGGACTGACGTCTGTCTTGAGCAAATAGATGCATGCCATTCTGTCGTGCTACTGTGTCAGATTTACGACACCAGGAAGGACGACGAGACCAGCTCTGAGAGCGAGGTGCCTGGATACGATGTTTCCAAACCTCCACAGCATCTTGGAAAACCCTGGTGATGTGCTTTGCTGCCAGAAGAGCCAAAGAGACTCCCTTCCCCTTGACATCTGTCCAATGATTGAAATGAGCAAACCTTCTCTCCACAAAGGTTGATGTCAGTACCACTCTTTCAAACACGACGAACATGAACTCTCTCAACTCAGTGGACAAGCCTTGCTCTACCGCTCCTTCTCTCACGACCAAAGCCTTCAACTTGCCACTGAAGCCAGCATCCAAACAGCAGGCGGGGGCATTGCATAGTTCTCGAAGTAGTCTTTTCTGATAGTCCAGATCTATGTCGGGGAGCGATAGTTCATACAGCTTCCATGGATAGGAGAGGAAAGGCTCGATCACTTTTCTTGCCAACTGACCAATAGTGAGCAATATACTTCTCAAAGCAATTCGCTTCCGGGCCTGAGGCCAATCTTCGAACTCGCCGAAGAAGAAACACAGCAACCTGAAAGCCGAACTTGGGTCCTCCAGCTGGAATTGAAGTTCCTTCATCACTTTCTTGCCGGGGTTCTTGGATGGAACACAAAATTGCCCTACTGTCAAGATTTGCTCTTGTACGTCGCTGGCTGTTGGACCCGGCTGCTTTCGGCCTCGATCTGAATACCACGTGGCTGTCTTGAAGAGAATCCAATGGAGCTTCATGCACGGAGCTGCAACAAGAACCCACAACATATTCAGGAATCGTGCTTGCCCATCACAAAGGAAACTGGTTGCTTTTGCATTGCGTTTTTTTGCTAGCTTGATCCATCGCTTGACTTCATTGATTGGAACATGCAGGGCCTCATCATCTGCATCATCGGAACTATCCAGCTCGGAGAGCGAATGCACCTCTCGATCTCCAAATCTCTCCCGAAAAATAGACTGGGCCACATCACTGAAAGACCCGAGAAGCACACACGCGCCGATGCACGGAAAGACCTTCGTCCACTTGTTCAAGGCCGGGACAACAACAGGTCGAAGTAAGCACTCAGAAACCAGAGATGACGCCTTGACTCTCGCTTCGGCCTCATCTCGGCAGCATCCAGCGCAAACGTGAGTTGGTGGTCCTGCATCACGAACGAACTTTCTATGTCTCTTTCTTGCTGGACGATGGATAGATGGAACATCATTCGAACAAGACTGTTCGTGTCGTGTCGATCTAGCAAAGACCAGCAGCAAAGACTACACGACTGCATGACTTTATGCATTCGACATCAGTTCAATTATCCTAGAATACCGCAAGTATATGTATAAGAAAATATTCTGTCATATGAACCTGAATATGAAATGTGGATATCGGAGGGGCTGAATCACTGGCAATCATTGGGGCATTGGGGTCACTGGGTTCTTGATTCTTGATTTTCGACCCCAACTAGATAATAGTTAGTTAGAATAAATAACAAATTATGTAAAGTACAGCTTCAGTTGCAACAACAGTCGAAGCAGGACTCAAACTTAACTGCGAAGAGTCTGTAGACTTGACTCCTTGATATAAAGGCATGTTGCAGAGCCGACTTTTTGGGCACGCCACAGCCACTGTCGCACACCATGGCAAGTGGCGATTGACCTCTGTCAGGGTCGACAGAAATTCCTCATTGCCAGGAACGTGGTCCGAGACCCAGAATCAGAATGTTCCTACAATCTGATGCTGAGTCAGTGCCTGCATTGGCATTGAGTATAAACTCGACCCATCCCTGGCAATTTGGGGCTCTTATAGCACGCCAGCTCAGCTGGAAAATAGCTATGTGGAGCTGGAATGAAATGCACCCGGAATCATACCCGTGAATCCTGACTATGGATCGACAATATATGAGATGATTTATGATTTCATCACGTTCTATCGATATCATAATCGAATCAGATCCGTGCCAGGTTCATCCGAGTATAAATTCCAGGTCCGAGACCGGGCTTCTCAGCGAGTTGGATCACTGTAGTAGCCTGGACCTGTCGGGCGGCATGATTTGTGAACCCATAACGCCTATGCCTATGCCAGTTTATCAACCGAATCTAGTCTATGAGTCTATGAGTCTATGAGTCTATGAATCTATGAGTCTACTACGAGGCTTACAAAACCTTTCAACAAGAGTAGTTGACAGTAGATTTATATTGGCTATGGGAGCCATCCGACCTCGGGATGCCGATGCCGATTGCCCGCCTCTGAAAGTCGCCGCCGAGCGATCCTTGTGCTGGCTCTGTCGTTCTCGGTCAGTGGGCGCATCAAAGAAACTCGGTGCTTGCCACCAGATCAGGTAGGAAGCCGTCTCGGAAGAGCATCTGTATGCCACATCCAAGCAACTGCGCCCCTGAGATGATCTTATCATAACATAATGATGAATACTGAATAAATAATTTAAATAAATTAATTGAGTTATGAGGACCATGGATTGATTAAGAGTAAGACTCACCTAAGGACCTACCTACGGCCTAAGGATCAATTCAACCTATGCATTATGATGACCGTTACTATTACAGTCGTAGTTAGCAAACGAGAGACCACGCTGTTGGCCATCTCTAGGTGGCTCATGACGAGCTTGTGCTGGCCCAGGTCATTGAGCCGCCAGAGGACCTTCTTCAAGATGTGAATGTGTCCGCGGGCAGCGGCCAGGTGGGACACCGTTGCCAGTGTACCACCGCGACACTGCAGCCCATTGATTGACATGTGCCTTACTAGCGCCGAAGCCATCTGCACGTGCACCGGATTTTGATTTTTGCCTTGGTCTGCAAGCACCATCAGTGGTGTCCAGTGCGGCGGCAGCCGCCCTATGCTTGTAGGGCGGTCTGCCAATCCTGGCGTTTTCTCCAGGATTGCCCACAGGATGGACAGGCTCTGAGTGCGGACCGCCCAATGCAGGGGCGTCATGCCAGCCGGATCCGCCATATTCTCAATTGAACCTGGCCGCAACGACTTGATCAGGGCCAAAGCCAAGTCTTCCTCCTGATTGAAAATCGCCTCGATGAGCCCCATACCCGCGGTTTCCTGCCTGGCCTGTGCATCTTGACTTTCAGCCTCCCTCTGCGCCATGAGACTGATCAAATGACGCTGTTGCTCTTCCAACAGCTCCATCAAGCGACGAAACTCTTCTCTGTTTGATGGCTCTGGCTGGGGAAGCTCTTCTTGGGCACCGCCAGGCGAGACGCCGGAGGGATCGTCAGCATCACCCCAATCTGGAGTGTCCTCCTCCTCCTCCTGCTCGGCCGCCGCTGTATCATCGCCTTGATAGAATGATCGGAATAGATAGAATATATTAAGACTTTGATTTTGATTAAACCGAATTAAACCTATAAATCCTATAGGCTATATACTGGACTGGAATTGATACTTGATGGCATCAATCAACGACCCTGCCCAATAGTGACAAAGGAATTGCTAATTAGTCTGAAGATACCTTTCAACTTCTCATCCAGCTCCTTGAGGTTGTTCATCAGTTTGTTGAGCGTGGCGAAGTCCTCTGCATCGAATCCTGCACGAGGTGTCGACGGCCCGGTCGGAGACCGCTGTGAGGGATCAGGCTGAGTCTCCTCCTGAGTCTCCTGCTCCTGCTGCTCCTGGGTCTCCTGAGGCTTGCTCGCTTTGGTCTTGGGTGTCGGAGGGAGATAGGCCGGCTCGGTCGGAGCAGGCTCCACAATCTTGCCCGCTTTGGTCTTCGGTGTTGGAAGGAGCCGAGTCGATGGCCCGGTCGGAGACCGCTCTTTCGGAGTCCTGGGTTCGGCCTCGCTCGTCTCTGCTCCAGCATCCGACTCCGATAGCGACACTTGAATCCAGGCCTCAATGGGAAGAAGAATTCAGAATTCAGAATCACTCTAAGCCCTAGCAACCAGCCTGAGCATTCAGTAATATTTACTTCAAACCGACCAAATCCTTCCCCCACGGCCGCCTCGCTTTCTGAAGCTCCGGACTCTGCGGACATTGCCTCGGCATCTCGCTTGAAGGGAAGGCTCGGAAGAGCACCGCCACGGCCACGAGCCTCAAGATTCAAGATCAATTGTCAATTAAGTTTGAAGGCTTCGGGTATAAGCGGCTTTCAAGTAAAGTAAAGTCGCTACTATAGCTTATACTTATACTACTTATATAATTAAAATTAACAATTACTAATTACTACAATTGATTCAAACCGGTCCGACCTGCGTCGACGGTACTGGCTTGTTCTTGGGAGCAGATCCATAGCTTCTAGCACGCGAGTCTCTCTCAGCGTCAGAGACGTAGGCACCGGCATCGGTCCATTCCGTACTCTCGCGACTGCGAGCCACCTGAGGATAGTGAAATCTTGTTATCCAAATAACTAACCTCAAGATTGAAGACATATATAATTATAATGATTGATTTAGTCTTGATAACTGATACGATACAATCCGGCCTCGGAGGGGGACCACCCCAAGCTCATGGCCAGCCCTTGAAACTCGGACGGAGTCATCAATTGGTTAAGTCGTGGGCGGTGACCAGCGTCTTGGTCGAAGCCCAGGGCGTGCTGCGCTGGCCTGGTGAGCCTGGTCAGAGACCGATAGCCCTCTTCGGCGAAGATTTGCTGCATCTTGCCCAGGGCATCGATTGGTCTGACATTCTTGCGACCATGCGTGTGTCGCGACTCTGGGGCCGTGGTGCTCAGGTCAACGATGGCCCGTAGACTGTTTAAGTGCGAGTACACCACTTCCGAGGGCTCGCCCGTCAAGAAGATGATGAGCAGGGCCATTAGGAAGCTGCTCCTATGAGCCCCGTTCTTGCAGGATATAAGCACCTTCATCCCAGACGACAAAAGTTTCATGATCCGCTGGAACATGTTGATAACCAGGCCCTGGTCGATGTCTCCATGAACCACGCCTGTGCCGTCCAGATTTCCCAGAAAGTCAATTCTGGAATCCCTTATCACCGGAGGGTGGGACGCTGCTGCCAAGATCGCTCCGATTCCGTTGGCAATAAGCACCTGCACATCCCCACTCGCTCCGATTCCTCCCAACCAGCACTGGGCACCATTGGGCAATTCCAGCACGCAGTGCATAGGGTGCCTTGAGACAAACTTGAAATAGGTATTCTGTTTCGAGTAGAATGAATTGAATGAATCAGAATGATCGACTACTCTAGTCGACTCGTGACTCCTTACTACTTACCCATCATTACATTATAATAATATTATCAAAACCGCCAAAACCATCCCGAATCGAGCCCGCCTTGAGTTGTAAGCCTGCCAGCACATCCTGCGCAGGGACTGCCCCTTGCCGTATGAGTCCGTGACAAGTAGTCTGGCCAGGTCAGAGACCGCTGCTGCCCTTCGTGATCGCTCTCGAAGTGCAGTAGCTCCTGAAGGGGCCTCCGGAAAGCTATACTCCGACAAAGCGCTGAAGCGAGCATCGAGCGGGGCAAAGTCAGACATGGCCAGAAACGAGTCAAACACACGACACTACTGCTACCACTGATGTGCCACCAATCAGGTGGCGGGGTCTCTGTCTGTACAAGCCAAATCTGCATTCATTCAGCATACATTACATGACAATGATCAATGATCTGCTTGCCTGCCTGCCTGCCTGCCTCAGCACTTCAGCACGCTACACGGTTCAACATATGACTGACATGACATGGCATCATGACAGGGCATTACGAGTGTGACCTGCGGCGACTTGCACTCACTAAGTACCGTCCCTGCAAAGCTCGGTCCTGTCCAAGGTCCGTTGAAGAAGTCGGCAAGCCGCTGGAAGGCTTCCCGCTGAGTCCCTGAGCGGATAGGATCCGTGGTATCGTTATAGCTCATACACAACTGGATCAAATCCCGGGCTTCTTGTTGGGCTTGAGACCACTCCTCTGTCAATGCTGCAGGGGTTTCCTTCAAGACTCGCAATGTACGGGCAATGTGACCATCAGCTTTTGCCCGAAGATCCTTCAACAGATTGCCCTTATTCAATACCTTCGCAATGGAAAAATTACCACCCAAGTTTCCCAGAAATTTCGTCAATTGCTCCACTATGTTACCCACTCTGTGTTGCAGGCATAGGGATGGCAAGAAGAAATGATTCTGATCATCACATAGCTGTTGGTCAACGAATCTCAGTAAGCGAATATTGGCAGCATGAGCATCCGATATGGTCAAAGTAGCCAAATACTTGCCTTCGAAGACCTGTGCAAATCCCCCAGGGCCGGCACTCAAAGCTGCATGCATCGTGGCCGAATTCATCACTGGGCTGAGAACTGCAGGGGACCTGAATATATGTTCATCGTGGACCAAATCCTCGTCCTCAAGACGGTACGTCAATTGACCATGAGAACAAAGTACGGAATACGAAGCCGATACACCATTCATCAACAAGTCGAAAGTAGACTCGTCAAACATGATATTACGAATGGCATATGCCAATTTCGTCGGCTCTGCATCTTCTGAGACCGGCTTCTGCAGCTTCTGGATACCTACGGCTTGGCCATGCAGGATAGCTTCTGCCACAACATAACGACTACCAGAACTGTTTCTGCGACCAGCTCCTTCAATGGAATCCTTAATCTGGCGACAAGTGGATTTTTCAGAACTGAAAGCCGCTCGAAGAACAGCAGGAGACGACCATACTCTCCACTGGCCTCTGCCTCCAACGGGCTGACGATCTAGACCGAACTCATGCAAGGGCATATGGAAATCTTGATTCCTGGCCCGTCCACTGGCATTATAAGCTCGCGATTGCTGATCATGGAAAACCTGGTTCTTCGACAGCTTGCTTTTGGCTCGAGGTTTCTTGGCAGATCCAGGTCCGAGACCGATGTTGTCGAGGCTGCGTTTTTGCCGTTTCTCAGTCGTTCCAACCTGGTCTCGTTGTTTTGTCTGCCCCTCTGCATGCACATCTTCAATTATGCCAAGGATTTGGTCCATGTCCAACGATGTAGCATCCATAGAATCTCCCATGGCTAAATCTTAAAAAAGACTCCAACTCTTTATCTATAAACCAATAAATCAATCCAAGGTTAACTTCATACTGCAAGTGCAAGATTCATGACTCATAGTATTCATGCAAAACAACCTCGTATTCTATATCTCAAGTCTAGATCCTGAAGTAACTACGAGCCTCAAAGCGACGAATGCAATCATGTACAACCTCAATTCACCCGGAAATCTCGGAAGGAGCTGGATGCAGAATTTCATATATTTTAAAAAAGAATTTATTAGAAATATCAAATATATTATTTTAAATAAAAAAGAATTTCATGAATTTTGCTATATTAATAAAAAGAATTTCAACTATTTCATCTATTTCTTTTTATGCTTTTTGGGTCATAATAAGCAAATATGAGCCACAGGCCTTCTTGGGGACACTCAACCTATTTCAATTATTCAGGGCCCTAAATTAGGGCTGGCGATCGTTCTTGCCAGAGGCGTGCACTAAACCCTAAACCCGAAAGGGTTTAGGGTTTAGGGTTTTCGAAAAATTCGCTCCTACGGCATTCCCAAAGACTCCAATATCCCGTAATTAAGGAATAGACCTAGGGTTCCTTTAATTCAGTTAAGGGATCTAGAAGGGATCTGCAGGGTTTAAGGTTTAGGGGACTCCAGTACCCCCTAATGAAAGAATATACCTTAAACCATGGTAGGATCCCTAATCTGATTTAAAGTATATTCCTTAGCTAAGGGACATTGGAGTCTCTGGGTTGTCCATTTTGGACTGAAATCATACTCCGGCTACAGCTTGCCCATATTCTGGCCTTGAAGCTGCTCGACACCGTAAAACTGGCAGGGCCACACTACTTCCTTTGCTCATATTATATACAAAGGTCCCGCGTCGCCGCATAAGGCCCCCCCTAAACCCTAAACCCTAACCCCGCCCCCCCATGGTATCCTCCCCCGCGCGGGGCCAAGCCAGGCCTCGCATCCGAGCCAACAGTCACAGGGATGGTGCCCGTGTGCATCATCGTCGCAACTTTCGACGATGTTTTCGGGAAATCTCGCACAATCTTCACAAATTTTTGTGGCCGTGAATCGTGCAAACCCCCACCCCTCCTCACACAGACGAGAGGTGGACATCTGTCGACAGTGACGCTGATGTCCTTCTTGCATGCTGGTATTCCGGGAGTGACTGATGAGAGTACCATTGCTCCTATGCTGTTCTGGTCTTAGGTCCCGCACGTTCGTATCGACCGTTGTCATTCCATGCTAAATTTCGCTTGGGTTCGGCAAAAGTACGCCTGTGCATATGTTTGCATGATTTTCATTCGGGGCTCTGGAGCAAGGGACCGGATGAGAGTGCAAATGGCATCATGATCACCATCTTCGTCTTGAACATCATCGTTATCATTGGCTTTCGAGCTCTGGGCGGGTCGGAGTTCGGTGGAACTGTATCATATCCTAAGGCCCAAACCCACGCAGCCGGATGCCCAACCGGCAATCGTTATGGAAGGGGGCGTAGCCAGGCGCAAGGGGGAACCCACGCCACAGGGGCAAACCATGTGGTTTGGGGGAGGGCGGCCGGGGGGGGGGTGTGCCTCGCAGCACTGCACCATATAGATCCGTCCTGACCCTGGCGTTCTAGAGAGTTCTGGGGTGGCACTGGAATGGTCGATGTGGACATGGTATCCAACTCTTTAACCCTATTCTAATGGCTTGGCCCCTAGATGGAAGATTCCGAAAACAGCGGACACCAATAAAGTCAATGAAGCACCCTAAATAGTAGGGTCCTTCGTATGAGGAGGACCCCCAAATAAGGCACCCCTTATTTTCGGAACACCCCCCACCCCTAAACCCTGAACCCTACCTGAAACTACCAAACCCTACTTTTTGTAGGTTCTTATTATAAACCCTAATATGGAATTTATAGGGAGCCTACGAAAAAGTGGGTTGGTAGGTTGAGGTATACTAGAGTTTGCGAGGAGACCCGCGATCTGAGATCACAACAATGAAAGCCTCGCCACGACGTCAGACCACCGCAACCGCCGAAAGTAAGGGCTTATGGTTTACCTTGGGATCCAAGAACCTACTGTTTTAGGGAGTATACCCTATAATTAAGGGGTCAGAACCCACTGCTATTTTGTAGGGTTTGGAGCTACAGGTAAGGCTTAGGGTGTAGGGTTTGTTGGTCCTGAGAAGCGTGTATAGGCTATGGTAAAGGTTACGTGGCTGAACGGCCTAGGCAAACCGTACCCGGAGGCTCATACCCTACCCTTTTTTAGGATGCCTAGTTTTCTGGCTAGGGTTTGTTATTATATACAAAAGTAGGTACCCTAAAATACGGATAAGGTATGAGCCTCCAGGTAAGCCCCAAGCCCTGAACCCTAAACTCTTGTTAAGCCCCAAGCCCATGATTTACAATTCCTAAACCCTAAACCCTGAACCCTAAACCCTAAAACCTAAAACCCAAACCCTTAAATCCTAAACCCTAAACCCCCAAACCCCTAAACCCCTAAACCCTGAACCCTATACCCTAAGCCGCAAGCCCATGCCTGATCCGGGCTCCACTGCTTCGGATGAGCCAGTCGCGGCCGCTTGGCCTGGGAGTTTCAAGACAGAGCGGTTTAGAGTTTAGGGTGTACCTTAAACTACCAAACCCTACTTTCTTGTAGGTTCATATTACAAACCCTAATATGGGATTTATAGGGACCCTACCAAAAAGTAGGTTTTGGGAGGTTAAGATAGGGTTTAGAGCGGGCGCCAACCATATAGCAAGGTGGGAGCGCGAGACCCACAGGAACGCCTGAAGAGCGGTTGGGTTTAGTGTTGTAGGATGTTAGGGCTTAGAGCTTTGGGTTTGGGGTTTGGGGTTTAGGGTTTAAGATTTAGGGCAAGAAGAGCGGGCGCCAACCATACGGGAGTTTCCGAAAATGGGGGACCTTAATATAGTGCCCTCAAAAGTAGGACCCTTATTATGAGGACCCAAAATGAGGCACCCGTAATTTTCAGAAACTACCCTTTGCCTGAAATATTACGATCCTTGCTATACGGACCCTCAACGTACCCCAAATGCGGCCCCAAGAAGGTCACCCAAAAGGAGCCATTATGGGCCATTATACCAACCCTACGGAAGGAGGGCTACTCCAAAAGCCTATGCGTAAGCCTTAGCACTCCATACAAGCCCACGGGCCCTGTAATAAAGCCTATTACCCTAATTCCCAAATCCTGCGCCTTAACCCGGAACCCTAAACCCTAAACCATAAGCCCTAAACATCTTAACCCTTATAAATCCAAAACCATAAACCCTAAACCCTAGACATCCTAAACTCCAGAAAACCCTAGAAACCCCCCTCAAAAAAAAGGCTCTGCTTCTGGGCTGCTCGGAGCATGTCCAGCAGACTCTGCTTCTCGTCCTGCTCGGCACCCCGGCCTGAAAGCAATGTCTCCCAGCTTACAGGAACCCTTAAAGGAGCCCTTAAAGGAACCCTAAACTTAATGGAACCCTAAAGGGTTTAGGGTTTAGGGTAGCTTACAGGAACCCTTACTCACTGGCCAAAAAAACCCAAGGGAATAAAAGTTGAAACTTTCAGAATCGACTACTTTGTACGAACCCCACAAGTTGAAAAGTTGAGTTTACAGCCAGTAAGCTTAAGGAAGCGCTTAAGGGAACCCGAAAGGCAGCCCTTACAGCAATCTCTATATGATCCTTTAAGGGGCCCCTCGCTAGAGGAAGGAAGGATCTGCCTGGAGGGTGAAGGGACTTAGTAAGTAGCTATCCTCTCAGCATTTCAAGGCTAGGTCGAGCATGGCCTGACAATGATGATGTGCGCCCAGAAAATGCGCAGCATATTCCACCACAAACATAAATGGGTGCGGCGAGCCTCCGCTCATGGCTCGATTGAACTAGCTACGGAGAAACACCGTGACAAAAAACCCGAAGCCGGCTCGGCAGGGGGAGGACTCCACAAAAGAATCTGGCCAGCCTTGTCTCTCAGCACCGTGCGAAATGCTTGAAATCACAATGCAGGGAACTGGTGGCAGCGAAACCACGGAACTTTGATACTCGGATCGTGTTTCCGCGGAACCGTTGTAAACCCTAAACCCTGCTATCTACTTACTAAGTCTCCTGACCCTCCAAGGCAGGATCCCCAAGAGCCCTTAAGCTCCTTCGTAATTAGTGGGGGAGTTTAGTATCCCACAACACATCGGGGCACCCTACCCTTGTTTTCAGTTTTAAACATCGTTCAAGAGTGCTACTGAAGGACCTGGCACAGGATCTCTGGGCGCGGGGCCTCGGGTCAGAGGTTTAGGTTTAGGGGTTGGAATTTTGGGGTTTAGGGTTTGGGGTTTCGGGTTTGGAGTTTGGGGACTTGTCGGAACCCCCAACTTGCAGAACAGTTGGTCATGATGTCGGGTTGAAGCGCCGAAAAGTCCACCGTCATTTAAGCGGCAGGTTGCTCGCTCTTGGTTTAGGGTTTACATAGGGCTTAGGGCTTAAAGTTTAGGGTTTAGGGTTTAGTTTAGGGTTTAGGGTTTAGGGTTGTTGTTAAGAACTCCTGAAGGTATACGGAGGCGTTATGATAGGCGTTACAAATGCTTACCCCTCGGATTTCAGAGAATTCGGGCGCCGGGGAATGGAGTGGGGGGGTGGGGATGAAAGTTGTGTTTGAAGGAATCAAGACCCGAACCTAAACCCTAAACCCTAAACTGGAGTCTGAGGCAAGGGGCTTAATTAGGGCTTTTCATATCCGAATCCTGCTTCTGAGCAATCCACACCAAAGCCTAACAAATCTGGGCTTGCGATATACCTTATAACAAAGCAATACAGAAAGACAGTGTTTTCTGCATTTTGTTTGTACACCTTCGGGTTGCATTAGCACCGAAAAAGACCTCCTAAAGAAAATCCACAAGGACCCACCTTATTGCACGCTTACAGGAACCATTGAAGGACCCCTCAAACGACAGTTCAAGAATCCTTACAAGAACCTGAGTAG